CTCCCTGTCCATCACCAACTCCCAGAGTCTAGCCAAACCCATGTCCATTGAGTCGGTGATGCCATCCAACCATCTCATCCTCTGTCATCCTCTTCTCCTCCTGTCTTCAATCTATCCCAGCATCAGGGTCTTTGCCAATGAGTCAGTTCTTTGCATCAGGTGGCCAAAGTATTGGAGTTTCAGCTTCAGCATCAGTCCTTCCAAAGAATATTCAAGACTGATCTTCTTTAGGATGGACTGGTTGGATTTCCTTGCTGTCCAAGGGATTCTCAAGAGTCTTCTCCAACACAACAGCTCAAAAGCATTAATTCTTTGTCACTCAGCCTTCTTTATGGTCCAACTGTCACATCCGTACATGACTACTGGAAAAACCATAGCTGTGACTACACAGACCTTTGTTGGCAAAGTAATGTCTCTGCTATTTAATACACTGTCTAGGTTTGCCATGGCTTTTCTTCCAAGGAGCAAGTGTCTTTTAATTTCATGGCTGCAGTATCCATCCACGGTGATTTTGGAGCCCAAGAAAATAAAATCTGTCACTGTTTCCACTTTTTCCCTATCTATTTGCCATGAAGTGATGGGATCAGATGCCATGATCTTAGTTTTCAGAATGTTGAGTTTTAAACCAGCTTTTTTACTCTCTTTCACCCTTGTCAAGAGGCTTTTTAATTCCTCTTCGCTTCTGCCATTAGAGTAGTATCATTCTGCCTATCTGAGGTTGTTGATATTTCTCCCTGCAATCTTGATTCCAGCTTGTGAATCATTCAGCCCAGCATTTCATATGACAGACTCTGCATATAACTTAAATAAGCAGGGTTCAGTTCAATTCAGTCGTGTCCAAGTCTTTGTGACCCCATGAACCTTAGCACGCCAGGCCTCCCTGTCCATCACCAACTCCCAGAGTCTAGCCAAACCCATGTCCATTGAGTCGGTGATGCCATCCAACCATCTCATACTCTGTTGTCCTCTTCTCCTTCTGCTCTCAATCTTTCCCAGCATCAGGGTCTTATTTTTCAAATGAGTCAGCTCTTCGCATTAGGTGGCCAAAGTATTGGAGCTGCAGCTTCAACATAGTCATACCAATGAACACCCAGGACTGATCTCCTTTAGGATGGACTGGTTGGATCTCCTTGCAGTCCAAGGGACTCCTCAAGAGTCTTCTCCAACACGGTTGGCAATATAAAATACACAGCCTCCTTTCCTGATTTTGAACCAGTCCCTTTTCCATGTCCAGTTCTAACTGTTACTTCTTGTCCAACACAAGGCAGACTGCTCTTCTCCAAATCAGCAACATGGAGGCTCAACTTCACCCTAAGGGCTGAGCAACAATGCACTGCATGGATGAACTTAGCCAGCTCATTCCCTTACTGTAACACATTGATGTTTTTGCTATTACAAATGATGCTAGAATTTCGCATCTTTTGACCATTTTTGAAAATATTTTTGTATCATAATATTGCTAACTGGATCAACGGGAAGGAATTTTTTTTGGGGGGTAAGGAATATTTTTAAACTGACAGATAAGTGTTCTCCAAAAAGGTTAGAACAAATTACACTCCCATAAAGAGTATATGGGCTTCCCTCGGGAAGAGGCTCCAGAAGCCTCCTTGCTCAGCCCCCCGCCCACACCTCGGTCTCTACCAGACGCTGAGAAGGGAGCGATTCTAGCCTGGGGACCCCAGAGCATAGCCCTGGCTGCTTCCAGCCCCTCACTCCCTTTTCTAGCCGCAGGAGCCGCTCGGTGCCGGACGACTCCGAGGGCTGCTGGTCTGGGTAGAGGAGCCCTGCCCTCAGCCTCGCCCGCCGTCGGGCCTGCAGGGGCCGCCGAAGCTCGGCGCCCACCCTTCCCCGAGCCTCTCTGTCGGAGGGCGGGAGCAGCCTCGGCGCGGGAGGCCTCGGGGTTGAGCCGGCGGCAGCTCCGCCGGCTCCCTCCCGTCCGCCGGCACAGAGCCGGCAGAGAGCTCCGGACTCCGCTGAGGATATTCCAACCCGCATTCTTCGGGGCCCAGAGCGGACTCTCGATTCTATTTGATTGGTCTACATGTCTATCGCCATATGGGCTTCCCTCATATGGGGTTTCCTCATAGCTCAGTTGGTAAAGAATCCGGCCGCAGTACCGGAGACCCTGGCTCGTTTCCTGGGTCAGGAAGATCCCCTGGAGAAGGGATAGGCTTCCCACTCCAATATTCTTGCGCTTCCCTTGTGGCTCAGCTGGTAAAGAAGCTGCCCCCAACGCGGGAGACCTGGGTTTGATCCCTGGGTTGGGAAGATCTCCTGGAGAAGGGAGGGAAAGGGGACCCACTCCAGTATTCTGGCCTGGAGAATTTCATGGATTATACAGTCCTTGGGGTTGCAAAGAATTCCTCATGACTGAGCAACTTTCACTTTCGCATGTCTATCCATATACCAGTGCCACACTGTTCTGATTACTGTAGCTTTGTGGCCTCTGCAACAGCTGGTAGAAGCTATGATGAGCTTCATGTGTTAGCCTTGCCACAGAGAGTTCATGTAATGCGAGCAAAAGTGAAAACATCTGAGAGCTCCGTGGATCAGCACAGCCCCATCTGACGTCGCTGTAGAGTCCACTGCCTCAAATGGGGACCCCGGGAACAGCTGTTCTCTACACTACATCCAACCCTAGCAGCCCAGCGAGTACCTGAAGGCCTTGGTGGCTGAGGGGGAGATTTGCAGGACTCTGCCAGGGGATGTTTTATTTGAGGGGATGGCTGAGTACTGCCACATTTGGACCAGAGCATAGAAGGGAGCTTGGCACTCCCTGAGGTCAGCATGATGGCAGGAGCAGTGATAAACAAGAAATCGCCACAGGTTGTTCTGGAGGAAATCTAAGTTGGCTGTGGATTTCATCACACCTAAGGTTTGGGCTTCCCTGTAACTCAGATGGTAAAGAATCTTCTTGCACTGCAGGAGACACAGGTTTGATCCCTGGGTCAGGAAGATCCCTTGGAGAAGGGAATGGCTACCCACTCCAGGATTCCTGCCTGGAGAATTCCATGGACAGAGGAACCTGGCAGGCTACAGTCCATGGGCTCACAAAGAGTTGAACCCAACTGAGCAACTAACACTTTCATTTTCAAAGAGTATATGAGGCACTTCCTTGATGGTCCAGTGGTTAAAATTCCACCTTCCAATGCAGGGGATTTGGGTTCCAACCCTGGTTGGGAAACTGAGATCCCACATGCCATGGAGCACCTAAGCTCACACTTCACAACTAGAAAGTCTGTGAGCTGCGATGAAAGATCTGCTTGATTCAGTGAAGATCTGGAGTGCTGCAACTAAGACTCAACACAGTCAAATAAATAAATAAATACAGGGTTTTTTAAAAAAGAATATATGAATACTCCACAACCTTGCTGTTTAAATTTCTTCAACTCTCAGTAAGCTTGAATATCTGTTTATAATTTATGAACTTTTTTCCTGATCAATCATTAACATTTTAAAAAATTGTGACTTTCACCATTCAGAGGTTTCTCATTTTTATTACTTAGCTCTGTCAACTTTTTCCTTTACACTTCTGGATTTCATGTCATGCTCAGAATTTTATAAGAAAAAGGCAAGTTGCAAGAAAATGTGAATAGAATTACTTCATCTTTAGTTTTTTTAAGAAAGAAAGAAAGCATATGTGTATTCAGGTATATATTCTTAAATGACTATTTACACAGAAATATCTGGAATGACGGACTTCCCCGGTGGCTCAGCTGTAAAGAATTTGCCTGCCAATGCAGGAGATGTGGCTTTGATCCCTGTGTCAGGAAGAGCCCCTGGAGAATGAAATGGCAACCCATTCCAATATTCTTGCCTGAAAAATCCCATGGACAGAGGAGCCTAGTGGGCTACAGTTCATGGAGCTGCAGAGTCAGACATGACTGAGCAACTAAACGGCACAAGCTGGAATGACATATTTTAAGTCAGTGGTTCTCAAACTGAGCGAGTATCAGAATCACCTGGAAGGCTTGTTCTAACACAGGATGCTGGGCCCGATTCAGTGTTTTTGATTCAGCAGGTCTGGGGAGGGACCTAAGAATTTGTATTTCTAACAAGTTCCCAAGTGAATCTGGTGCTGGTAGCCCATGGACAACACTTTGAGCACTGCTGTTCTAATCCAGTAAAGGGAATTATCCATGGGAAGTGGCAGTAAGGACATTTGTTTTTTACTTTATTCACTTCTTTAAGAAGCAAGAATTTCTTTGATAGTTAAGCGAAAAAATGAGATTTTTAAAGACTTGCATGTAAAAGAACAGACAAGTATAGTGTTTTATCCAAATACAATCCTTGAGAAGGAAATGGCAACCCACTCCAGTATTCTTGCCTGAGAAATCCCATGGACAGAGGAGCCTGGCGGGCTGCAGTCACAAAGAGCCAGACACAACTGAAGCGACTTAGCACTCACACACACACATGACACATTATTACCAGGCACTTTGTCGGGACACACAAGGTTCACCTCAGGTTGCCATGCAGTAGTGTTGGATGAGTTTAAAGGCCAGATTCATACCATTGGAATTTGACCTAGAAATGCATTGTGCTCAGAAAGCTGCAAAGTAATTTAGGAGTAGAGGAAGGACATGTGCCGAGAGAGAATGTGGTGGAGAGGAGGCAGGGGTGCAAGACAAGTAGGACAAATCTCCAGGGATGACCTAGGTGGAGGACAGTATGTCTGTGTTTTGGAGTCAGACAGATCTGGGCTCAAATCCTGGCTTTGGACATCTCACTTACTCTCCGAGTCTCAATTTCCTCATCTATAAAATCAGGATATTAAACACCTCGCACTTTGCCTAGTATGCAGTTGGTGCTCAGTAAACAGAACACTGGGATGCTTTGGCCATGTGAGGAGCCCAAATGGCCCAGCCCACCCAGCCTGCCTTACTCAGGTGAAGCCTCTACCCCCACCATCACAGCAGCCCTGGTTCAGGATGCAGCCCACGAGAGGAGGCCCCAGATTGCTCTGGCTAGGAGCTGTGTGGGGCTTCCACAAAGGTGGGTTATAGGTTCTTGGTTTTCAGCAAGCAGAAGGGGGCTGTACGTACCCCAAAGGAGATGTAGGCGCCCAGCAGGCTGCCGGCAATGGTAGCGTAGCCTCCAGTCATGACAACGTGGATTTCAGAGAGTGTCATGTCTGCCAAGTAGGGTCTGATGAGTAGAGGAGCCTCGGTCTGCAAACAGGAAAGACGTCAGACAGGCAGAGCTGGCCAGGCCAGCACAGGGGGCATTAGAGATGTCCTCACCCCCTGGGAGTGAGAGGGACAGTGAGGACTGGGGGACCCCAGGGGAAGAGACAGCAGGGAGGGGTGAGGACCAGCATCTGAGCTTGGCCAAACCTCTTGGAACCGTGGCAAAAGCCAGGCTCTGTCAAAGGATCCCCAGTCCTTCCTTCTGACCTGATAATGCTCCCCCGCATCCAGTGCCTCCCACGTGCAGGCACTCAGCTAAGCAGCTCACACTTGTCACTTCCAACCTCCTGGGAAGGAAATGATCATCCCCATGTTCCAGGAGAGCAGAAGATCAGAGAGGTTCAAAGAATTGCCTCTGTTCATGCAAAGGACCAGAAGCAGATATAACTCCAAGTCTGAACTTCTAATAAAGATGAGGGGGTTGCCAGAAAGAAAGGAACCGGAGCACTAGATGGCGCATTTACTGCAGAGCACATGGGGAACCCAGAGTCATTCATTTACTCATTCAATAAATAATTCCAGCACACACTGTGTTCCAGACTGTGCTATGGAAGAGGGAGAGGGATGGGGGGGAGGGGGACGAGGGCGGGTAAGCAGTGGACCTCAGTAGGGAGCGGCATGATCTGACTTGTGTTTTTTTTCTTTTTGCTACGTCCCACGGCATGTGGGATCTTAGTTCCCCAACCAGGGACCAAACTTGCACCATGCACCAAATGCATCAAACCTCCATTGGAAGTGCAGTCTTAACCACTGGACCACCAGGGAAGTCCTGACTTGTGTTTTTAAAGGGCCACTCCAATGTGTGTGTGTGAAGGATGGACAGTAGGGGCAGCGGTGGTGGCAGGGAGAGCAGAGAGGAGGCGACTGCAGTGTCCCAGTGAGAGACAAGGGTGATTTATAGCAAAGGAGAAGAAGGGCAATGGGGCAGGTCTGGGATGTGGTGTGGGGCAGAGCTGGGAGGATTTGCTGATGGACTGGGAGCAGCTGGGAGCAAGAGAAGCAGAGGGAGGAAGGATGACACCTCGATTTTTGTCTGAGAAACCTCATGGAAGATGCCGTCATTTACTGTGAAGGGAGAGATTCGAAAACAAAGGAAATGGCAATCCACTCCAGTAATTCTTGCCAGGAGAATCCCATGCGCATGGGGTCGCAAAGAGTAAGACACAACTGAGCGACTCTCTCCCTCACACACACACGCACACACACATACACACGTGTGTGTTGAGGGAGGAACTCAAGTGTTCCGCTTGTTTGGACTTAGCCTAGTGAATTATCTGGGCTTCCCAGGCGGCTCATGGGTAAAGAATCCACCTGTAATGCAGGAGACACAGGTTCAAGCCCTGGGTTGGGAAGATCCCTTGGAGAAGGAAATGGCAACCCATTCCAGTATCCTTGCCTGGAGAATCCCGTGGACAGAGGAGCTTGGTGGGCTACAGTCAATGGTGTTACGGAGTCAGACATGACTTAGCAACTAAGCTCTAATGAATTACCTAAGGATATCCAAGTGGAGGGTCAAGGGAGCAGTGGGATGTATACCAGACTGGAGTTTTGGGAGAAGAAGTATTTAAGCCATGGGTGGGGGCAGGGGGGAGTCCTCTAGGGACACAAGCAGACAAAGAAGAGGGCCCAGGCCCACCAACGTTGAGTTTGAAATGATACTGCTAATTCTTGAAGACTCCCTACCCCCACCCAAGTTAATTCACCTTCAGAACTCTTCACAATCTAAGATTTGTATTTCTCAACAAAAACCACTGATTATATTTGCAACATCTCATATAAAGTAAATGCTGATACTGAAGTATCTTTTCCTCTTTGCCTCATTTTGAACATCTAAGGGACCCTGGACAATTTATCTGAGGGCACATCTGTCTTTTAAAGAAAAAAACACAAAAAAACCCTTGAAATCAATACACTTGAATCAAAGCAAGAAAAAAAAATTGCAGATATTCTCCGAAGTTTCCTCAACTGCCCATAGTTGCCATACTTTGGCAAGTATGTCTTTTTGGTGACACACATGTTGGGCAGGTGGGCCAGGATTCTGCAATGGTCACCATGTCACACCCTTAGGAGGGCCAGGCCTTCTGAAAGGGACTCAGGACTGATAGTCCCTTCAGAATCAAAGTTATATTGGAAAATATTCTTTCAGAAAGAGACAGGGGGAAAAAAGACAGACTAATGATGTGGAAGGAACCCCAACCAGGAAGAAGAAGACGTGGATTCTAAGTCCTGGCTTATATTGTGGGATCTTGGCAAGGCATCCCCAACCCTGGACCCCAGTTTTCGCAGGTATAAAAGGAGAACTCCGGGCTCCATCTGTAGGATTCATGAGCCTCTAAGGTGAAGACAGCTTTCACCTAGGATAGAAGGTGGTGGGAGGTGCCAGGTAGACATCATCCTCTTTGGCTTGACCCAGGCACAGAGTGTATTCCCCAAAGGAGCATCTCTAGGACCCTGGTGACCCTGGTAGGAGGTTTGATCAGCTCTTCTGATGATGGAAGCAGGGCTCTGGGGATGCAGGGCCCCCACCTTCCTTGGGGACAGGAGGCTGCAATACCCACCTGGCTCACAAAGATGTTCCCAGCCACACTCAGGGTCTCTGTGGCCGTGGTGCCCATGGTGATCTGCATCAGCCAGGAGATCTGGAAGGAAGCAGGGTGTTTTTTGTGAATTGACATCAGCAAGCCCCAGAGGCAGAGATAGTCAAGGTGGAAGTACCATAAAAGCCTTCCTTCTAACCCCGTTAGGACCTCCTCATCTACATTTCCCCAAAGATCCATTCATCTTCTCCTTCCATACCTCCATTGATGAGGGCTTACCGCCCGTGAAAAAAGGATTCCCTGGTCAAGTACAAGGCTTCCCCGGTGGTTCATACAATAAAGAATCTGCCCGCAATGCAGGGGACCCAGGTTCCGTCCCCGGGTCAGGAAGATCCCCTGGAGAAGGGAATGGCAGTCCACTCCAGTGTTCTTGCCTGGAGAATCCCATGGATAGAGGATCCTGGAGGGCTGCAGTCCATGGGGTCACAAAGAGCTAGACACGACTGAGTGACTAAACACACACATTGGTGAAATATATTTCAGAATTGCTGTATACACACATACCTTGGAGATGGCCAACACTTGTCAGCTTAGCAAAGGCTCTGAGAACTCCTGCATGAAACTTGTTTAAATTTGTTTAGTCCAGTGTCTAGGTTAACTTCACAAAATTATTTGACCAAGGGACTTCCCTGGTGGTCCAGTAATTAAAGCTCTGCACTTCCACTGCAGGGGATGTGGGTTTGATTCCTGGTCAGGGAACTAAGACCCCACATGCCATGCAGCGTGGCCAAAAATTTTTTAAAAAACAAATTATTTGACTATGGAATTCCTTTACCTAGTAGCATTTACTAATCTGCTGTGAAACTAGAGTTTTTGGAGAAAGGCTTTGGGAAACACTGTATTAAAAAGTTCTTTCTTTAAAAAACAAAAACAAAAAAAAAACAAAAAATAAAAATTAAAAATTTTAAAAATTAAAAAAAAAGTTCTTTCTTGGGAATTCTCTGGTCAAATATAGGGCCATAGAGTCCGGTGGTTAGGACTCTGTTCTCACTGCTGAGGGCCCGGGTTCAATCCCTGGTTGGGGAACTGAGATCCTGCATGCTGTGTGGTATGGCAAAAGAAAAAAAAAAGTCCTTTCTTTCAATCAACATGGAATCTGCTTCCTTGGCATTTCTCTCCACTGCAAGTACCTCTCAGGCTACTTTCCCCTAATCTTTCTTCTCTAAGTGTTTAGAATCCTACCCCTAACCTCCTTCACCCTGGCCTTCTCTTTCTGACCCTTCATCCCCACTTCCTTCAGCCATTCTATGGAAGGTGTGATCTCAGGCTCTCTCTCACATTGACAGTTTGTCAGAGCCCCTTGGTTGAACACATTTTCCAGATTTGGGGATAACTGCCACACTCATGGGCTTCTCAGGTGGGCTAGTGGTAAAGAACCCGCCTGCCAATGTAGGAGATGTAAGAAACACAGGTTCGATCCCTGGGTCAGGAAGATTTTCTGGCGGAGGGCATGGCAACCCACTCTAGTATTCTTGCTTGGAGAATCCCATAAATAGAGGAGCCTGGTGGGCTATGATCCAAAGGGTCGCAAAAAGTTGGACACAATTGAAGCAACTTAGCACACATGCCACCCTCATGCCTGCCATGAACTCATAACATAATCACAGGCTCCATTTCTGGCAGCTGCCTAATGTACTGGTTTATTCTGAGCTCAATCAGCTAAAACCCTCAGCATCTCTTGCCAGGTCCAATGCCATCCAATGCTGTCTCCTGCATCCTGGTTTCGTGCGGCAGATTTTATGAACATAAGCACGGGATTTGACATTTATATCAGCTGAGTCTGGCCCAGGTGGCCCACTGCTCTCAAGATCTTTTTGGTATAAATTATTTTTTCCCCCGCATGCGGGCGTGCTGTCATTCCAGTCGTGTCTAACTCCTTACGACCCTATAGACTGTAGCCTTCCAGGCTCCCCTAACACTTCTAACACTTCTAATGCAGCCTCAATTCTATAAACTACCCCCTCCAAAGACCCCATTGGATTGTGGCGCCAAGTCTCCTTAGTAGCATGACAAGAGACCCTGTGATAAGGCGTTTGGTTAGTAGTAGACTCTGACAGGGTGTTGACCCTGGGAGCAGGGGATGCTGGGAGGTCCAATCTCTCAGAGCAGGGGGTCTGGGGAGAGTTTGGGCTTGGGAAAGCAAGGCATTCTGGGAGAGTGTGGGGCTGGACCAGGACCTTGGGAACTCACCTTCATAATCACCCACTGCATGAGGCCCACATAGTAGAGAACTGACATGGCACAGCTGAAGAAAACAATGATGGGCAAAACCTGCCAGGAAAGAGCACAGATCTCTGGGTTAAAGCAGATAGGCGGCAGGATACCACGCAGGACCCCGGTCGGCCTACTTCCTCCAAGAGCCTGCAACTCAGAGGACCGACAGGGTCAGGGGAGCAGCTCTGAATCCAGTGCGTGGAATTCCATATGGGACCACTCTGGAGGCAGCTGTCCTCTCTGCTCCTCTCTGAACATTAGCCATCTAGGCAGCTGTCCCTGTGGTGGAGGGGGAGGACTTAAGTTCACCACTTTTTAAGATAAATATAGATTTATTTGACTGTGCTGAGTCTCAGTTGTGGCATGCAGGGTCTTCAGTCGCGGCATGTGGGATCTAGTGCCCTGACCAGGGATGGAACCCTGGCCCCCTGCATTGGGAGCAGGGAGTCTTAGCCACTGGACCACCAAGGAAGTTCTGAGCCCACCACTTTTTATCACCTGCTGAGGGGGAGGAAGGGACCACCTCGCAGGTTGTTGTAAAGGTTTAAGGAGCTGGCTCAGGGCCCAGCACTTTGCGCAGGGTCTGTCCTCCACCCTGGGTTCAATCCCTGGCCCATGACGCTGGCCTTAACCTCTTGCTGTGCTTCGGGCTTCAATCAGAGGCCCTCATCTCTCTAGTGTTCTACTTCTGCTTGGTGCCGGTGAGCTTCAAACAACTCATTGTGGACCAGTCACCCGCATTTCCTCCTGTCACCCCATTTCCTATTTCCAGGCTTGCCACTGCTCTTCACTGACTCCAAGTCTCTACAATTCTTCTTTCAAAGCTTCCTCACATCCACTCCTTCCTCCCCGGAGCCATGTGTTCCCCACCCCCAGTGCTTCCTCACTGCAGACTGACTTAGAATAGCAAGGACTGGCAACAATGTGAACATCCTTCAGTGAAGACAAGTGTGATGACCTATGGTGTGGCTGTGCACTCAAGTCAGGAATCCAGAGTGAGGAAGCCGGTTGTGAGCAGTGTGGGATGATTTTGAAGATAGGTTGTGAAAGGGGAAAAGGGAAGGTGTAGAACAGGAAGCATGGTGTGCTACTTTATGAGTAAGAAAGTGGGGGTGGCATTGTGGGTGCTCTTGTAGGCACAGATATCATTAGATGAATATGCAAATGATCAGGAATGGCAGCTACCTTGGGAATGGAAGTGGGTGACTTGGGGATCGGGGTGGGAGGGATACTTGCGTGCATGCTCAGTCACTTCAGTCATGTCCAACTCTTTGTGACCCCATGGACTGTAGCCAGCCAGGCTCCTCTGTCCATGGGATTTCCCAGTCAAGAATACTGAAGTGAGTAGCCATTACCTCCTCCAGGGAATCTTCCTGACCCAGGGATCAAATCCACATCTCCTGATTCTCCTGCATTGACAGGTGGATTCTTTACTACTGGGTCACTGGGGATGCCTGGGAGGGAGACTTACATTTTACCAAATCCCCATTTGTACAGTTGGAACGTGCTATCTGTTCCAAACAGCTTTAAAATAATAAGTTATACAGAATTAGTAGCCCACCAGGCTCATCTGTCCATGGAATTCTCCAGGCAAGAATACTGGAGTGGGTTGCCATTTTCTTCTCCAAGGGATCTTCCCAGCCCAGGGATCGAACCTGTGTCTCCTGCATTGCATGCAGATTCTTTACCATCTGAGCCACCAGGGAAAGCCAATAATGTGGTAAGCTAAAATGTAAAGTGGGGAAAGTGGAAAATTAAAAGTACTGGTGGTCCAGTGGTTAAGAAACCACCTTCCAGTGCAGAGGATGGGGGTTTGATCCCTGGCTGGGGAACTAAGATCCCACCTATCTTGGGGCAACTAAGCTAGCAAGTTGCAACTACTGAGCCCATGCACTCTGGAACCCAAGCTACAACTGGAAAGAAGCCCTAGTGCTGCGATGACGAGCAGGGGTGCCAAGACGAAAGATCCCACGCGCCACAGCTAAGACCCAGCACAGCCTAAAATAATAAATAAGCAAATATTTTTAAATAATTTTAAAAAATAAAAGCATAGAAATAAGGCTGGGAGGCACACACCCAAATAGTCAAAGTAGTTGCTCCCATGTGCTAGGACTGTGGACATTTTTTTCTTCTTTCTGCATTTCTAGTTTCTCACCTGCTTTTCTGATAAGAGGCAGACCCTTCTCAAGGGAGGGCAGCACAGGCAGAGGAGGGCTTTGGGGGAGGTCCATTTGCACTCAACGGGGTCAAAAAAACCGGGGAACCAGCAACGGGAAAGAAGGGTGCAAAGGCCAAGAACCCAAAAGAAGGGCCAGGCCAGGCCTTGGCTGAATGCATGTTGAGGCCATGGGTCAGATGGAAACTTCCCTGGGTGACAAGAGTAGTGACTGAGGACAGGGCCCTGGTGTCAGCGTTCCTAGAGGGTGAGGGGAGAAGGAGGGGTGCGTGGTGGAGACAGAGAAGAAACAGAGAGGTCCGAGAACTTCCAAGACAGGGTGCGATGGAAATTGAGGGCAGCTTTCCTAGAAGAGACCGTCCAGCAACAGTGCCAGACGCATGCATCTGAGAACTCTGGAAAAGGTAAGGACTGCGAGGGACGCTTGGCACCTGGCAATTCCAGGGTCCCTGGTGACCTAGATGAGAGCAGTGTCAGGGGGATGAGCACAGAGGCCGGGTATCAGTGAGCCCAGGAGTGGGGAGGACACGAGGAGGTCGAGACCATGAGGAGGTAGAGACCACAGGACAAGCAACTCTTTTGAGAAGCTTAGCTATGAGGGAAGGCAGAGGGGCTGAGCAGACTTCCCTGGCAGTCCAGTGGCTAAGGCTCTGCGCCCCCAGCGCAGGAGGTGTGGGGTGAATCCCTGGTCAGGGAACTAGAGGGGTGCGTGGTGGAGACAGAGAAGAAACAGAGAGGTCCGAGAACTTCCAAGACAGGGTGCGATGGAAATTGAGGGCAGCTTTCCTAGAAGAGACAGTCCAGCAATAAGTGCCAGACGCATGCATCTGAGAACTCTGGAAAAGGTAAAGACTGCGAGGGACGCTTGGCAGCTGGCAATTCCAGGGTCCCTGGTGACCTAGGTGAGAGCAGTGTCAGGGGGATGAGCACAGAGGCCGGGTATCAGTGAGCCCAGGAGTGAGGAGGACACGAGGAGGTAGAGACCACAGGACAAGCAACTCTTTTGAGAAGCTTAGCTATGAGGGAAGGAAGAGGGGCTGAGCAGACTTCCCTGGCAGTCCAGTGGCTAAGGCTCTGCGCCCCCAGCGCAGGAGGTGTGGGGTGAATCCCTGGTCAGGGAACTAGATCCCACATGCCACAACCAAGGGTTCACATGCCACAACTGAAGATGGTGCATGCAGCATGCTGCAATGAAGAGGGAAGGTTCCATGCGCCTCAACTAAGACCCAGCATGGCCAAATAAATAAATAACTTCTTTTTTTTTTAACAGAGGGCTATAGAGAGGGGTGAGGGGTGGAGGAAGAATCATTTTCATTTTTCAGAAGAGAGAGTGTTGAGCAATCAAGTTCAAGCTCCAGTTCAAGATGAACTGGGACCACAGTGCAGTCCCTGATGAGAGCAGAAACTCTGCTCAAGCAGCTCTCCTGGAGAAGAGAAACAAGACTGGCCAAGGCAGTTTTCCCTCTCCCTTCCCAAATGAATGCCACGGGTTTTATCTGGACCTGCTCCCCTCACGTCTCTGTCACCAGCTTTGCTGCCCAGGAGATGTCACCTGACAGGAGACCCAGGCATTGAGTGGTGAAGCCCTCTTCCCGCCCCATGACTCCCCTGGCTGCCTGCTGCTGGACACGCCCCCAACACCAGATGTGGTGACGGCATTCTCCTCTCCCCTGGAGTGAGACGCAGGGAGGATCACGTACTGTCTAGGACCGCCTCTCCAGTCCATCATGCGAGGGACCACTAGGCAGCCTGGCGGGTTTGGATGGCCCAGGCCAGGGAGAAGAGGCCCCCGGGGGCAGTGGGACCTGACTGCAGAACTGGGATTTCTCCAGGCAGTGACCTAGAGACATTTTCTAGCTCTGAGATGGGGATCTTTGGTGGAAAGGCAGCTGTGACCGTATGGGGAGGGATGATGTGTGAAGGAGAAGAGAGGTGATTTCTAAGGTGGGACATTCAATACTAAGTGAGGTCCCTGGGGACTTCCCTGGTGGTCCAGTGGTTAAGAATCTGCCTTCCAATGCAGTGGAATACAGGTTTGATCCCTGGCCAGAGAACTAAGATCCCTCATGCCACGGGGCAACTAAGCCCGTGAGTCACAACTACTGAGCCCATGCTCTAGAACACGTGCTCCCCAACAAGAGAAGCCACTGCAGTGAGAAGCCTGAGCACTGCAACTAGAGAGTAGCCCCCGCTTATTGCAACTAGAGAAAGACAGCACGCAGCAACAAACACCCAGTGCAGCCAAAAATAAGTTAATTAATTAAATAAGGTCCCTGAGTCCAATACGATCTCCCAGTCTAGGAAATAGCCCTGGGCCCTGTAGTATGTGAGATGGCTGAAGACAGGGCAGGCAGCTGGGCCGTGCTGCTGTGTGAAGGAGGAACGTGCCATTAAGCCCCACTGCTTGTGAACTGTGCAGTCCTGCCATGAGCCATGTCCCCAAGGTGTGGTGACTCAAGGATCCTCAAAGCAACTGAAAAGTGAAAGCATTAGTCTCTCAGTTGTGTCTGAGTCTTTGTGACCCCCATGGACCATAGCCTGTCAGGCTCCTCTGTCCATGAGATTCTCCAGCCAAGAATACTGGAGTGGGTTGCCATTCCCTTCGCCAGGGATCTTCCCAACCAAGGGATCGAACCTAGGTCTCCTGCATAACAGGCGGATTCTGAGCCATCTGAGCTACGAGGGAAGCCCCAAAGCAACTAAGTTCAACGTAAATTCACTTCACGGTGGAAACAGTGAGGCCGTGAGGTATTGGTTATCTATCCAAGGTTACACAGCTGCAGAGACAGGTACCTCCTGGCCACTAAGCAGATTGCCAAGGACCTTCCATGATCCTAAGGAACTATTCCCTGGGGCCAGTCCTGGAGCCTCATTTCTCTGT